CACATTAAAGAACAGGTGTCTGTCAGGAATCCTTTATGTTTCAGACTTCCCTAGAAGTTGCGTAAGATACAGTCCCTGACTTGAAGTACTTACTGTCTACACAGAAATAACAAGTCAAATAAGCAAAATCAAGCAGAATTCTCCTTTTCCTGCTTCCACCTTCACATTGTTATTTACTTGCTTCAAAGAATGCACATTGATTTGGGTCTATAATAAATAATTTCTAACATTTATTTAGCACAGGGATAAGCATTGTAAAAGCAATTCTTTTTATGAAATCTTAACAATATCTAAATGGTTTTCTTGTTATTATGATGAAACTGATTCTTACTGACATTATGTAAAATATTTATAATCAGAGCCATTGACACAGGCAGCACTTCGTATGTTTTGCCAGGTAGTTGACCTTCATCAGATTTGGTTAAGAGAGATAGATGTTAACATAATTTTATTCACATGGAAGAAGACAGAATTTTGTTACTACTTTATTCAAGGGATATTTCCATTGTTTATTATAAAGATTCTACCAGGAATATAATTACAGATATGTCTTTATATGTGGGCATAAGTAATGGTTTCTGAATATGTGTAAAAGGTTCCATGTCATGCATTTGAAGTGGTATGTGCTTTGTTATTTGATTTGCACTTTAAAAATTTTACTTATGATTGCCAAATTGTCCTCACCAGTTTAACACTCATCAATTCAATGCTCATCCTGAAAGATGGCATCATCACAATTACTGATCACTTGTGAGTTGCATGGATTCAGCTGTGACTTGTTGCAGTAGCTTTTGTGACATTTTAGCATTTGAGACTTATCTAGAAGATGAAAATTTTATGTGCATGGAGTTGGTTGTTCATTGCTAAGTACCAACAGGAGAAGAAAGAGCAACATGGAATCAGACAACACTCAGTGTCTTTCACCATCCCTGACCAATGATGATCATCAGAAGATAATGGCTGGTGCTTCCTGTCTGCCTCCCAAATGTTGTGGATATTTAGTTTTGTGCTTATAATCATAAGAAGTAGGGAAATGAGGGAAATATAGTTTCCTGCGGAACCAAGTTGACAATAGACTAGCTCATCTTAGAAACCCAAGAGCTATTATAAACAAATAGCTGGCCACTGATGGCTCATGTCTGCAATCTTAGCTACTCAGAAAGCAGAGATCAAGAGGATCTTGGTTCAAAGTCAGCCCCAGCAAATAGTTTGAGAGACCCTATGTCAAAAAAAGTCCATCACAAAAAAGGATTGGTGGAGTGGCTTGAAATGTAGGCCCTGAGCTCAAGCCCCAGTACCCCCCCAAAAAAAACCTTCAAGCTTCTGCACTGTATGCTCTCCCAGTCCAGAGATTCATCAATTGTTTTCTTTCATTATGTTCCATGATATTTACTAAGGACTCATTATGAGCAGATTGACTGGCTGGAGTCCTAGCTTTAAGCATAAGGGCTGTTGCTATTATAAAAGGGAGACCTTGGATGATAAAAGATAGGGATAGGATCAGAAGATGTGGAATTCAGAAGCTTTAGAAAGCATATTTGTAAGACATGCTTAAACTGCTTTGGCTGAAAGGTGCTGACTCGTTACTTGGGTCCATGAATTAACTAAAACAATAGAAAACCCTGGCATTCCAGTCTCCATTTTGTACCTGTTGTGCTTTGCTCTAAACCATTCCCCTTGCAGTCACTTGGCAATCATATTGGATTCCAGGAAGGACAGAACTGATACTATCTTTGTGACAAGGATATTGAAAACTAACCCTGACAGTAGAGCCTCCTTAAGATGGACCACCCTTTGGTAACAATGATTCCAGATAGCAACTCTTCTAAAACTCTTCCAGGAGTAAGGACTGAGACAATGACCAACCAGGCCATACCTGTGAGTGGGACAATTTAATAATTATGCAAATCTCTCTCCCACTGTTCAAAGCTCTTTGTCTATTTAAACCTGTCTGTACCCTGAGGTAGGCTGGAGATGGGTGGAGTGCTTACTTCATCTCTTTCCACTGAATTTCCAAGTCATGTAATAAATGTCATGTGGAAACCCAGGATTCAGGTCTAGGGCCCAAAACTCTGGTTTCATATTAACTGAAATAGTCACAGGACAGCAATAGAGTATCTCATTTTCATCTTACTGAAAGATTCCCTTTGTTTCCTGAGGATTTTGTTTTTGTCCTTTTGCTGGTTTGGCTTATCGCTTTGTTTTATTTTTAGAAGGGAAGGAGACAGGGAACAGGGTTTCACTATGTAGCCCAGGCTGGTCTTACACTTGTAAGAGACTGCTTCAGTCTCTCAAGTGCTGGAATTAAAGGCAAGCACCACCAAACCTACTATGAAAAGCAGACTTCTTGTGTTATTTATTATACCTCATTGAATGGCATTCATTGAACAGATTATCATGTAAACATGGTACATTTTTAGAGCTACTGGACTTAAGGTCTTAAATTACATGCATGTAATAACAAAAGATGAAACGTTAGTCATTAGCTTAATCTTCAACTTTCATACTTTTTGTCATGATCAATGCTGTCATTCTGAAAAATGGCAAAGATTTGACAGAGCAATTCATAAAATTTTATAGGGGTTGTAGTCCATATTCAGTTACTATCTACCCTACTTATCATAAAGGTTTTCTGAATGCAGAACATAATTCCCCAAATTCTAACTATATATCACTTAGTGTAAATAAGGGCTTAGTTCACTGATTTTCCTGGCATTCACTTCACTTAAGTATAAAAAAAGTCCATGAATCTTATCTTCTGAGCTCCTGAAATCAGTTCATCTGAATAAATCTATTATTAGCTTGGAATTAATTTGTTTAATTTTTCCCATTGTCCTCTGAGATCTGCCACATTCCATCATACCTATTGTTGAAATTCCCCCTGACATTCATGTTGTGTAAACTCATGGTAAACTCATGGTGGGTGCAACAGATTCCCTCAGAGGATCATCACAGTGGACGAGGTTGACTTGTCAGTAGAGAACATCATGGAATATAGAGCTGCTACTCTATTTCTACCTTAGACACCTGAGCCTGAGATCCAGGAAAGGGAGCAGGAAATCTCTGCTTGCTCACAGAGATTTGACAAAGAGTTGGAGGAAAAATGAGAGAAATGACTGTAAACTTGAACACTATCCACATCTAAATTATTTAACCTAGGCTGCAGGACCACTCAGCTGCTCTTCTGCGTTCATGGAGAGGGAGATTTCCAGGAGGAACACTGGAAAAGGCTTCCATGTTCAAGAAGAAGCGCTTGTGGGCCTGGCAGTGAACAGGCGGCCCTCTCACCCAGTTTCCCTGGATCATTCTGCTGTTCTCATGAGTGAATGGAGGAACAGTACTAGTGGGCAGTCCTGGGTTCTGCTTCTCTCTCTCCTGTATGATCCTGAAGGAGGATGGTTTAAGAACCTATGAGCATTCAAGGCTCTTCCCATGCTGACCCCAGAAGTGTTTGACGGAGACCTCGACTGTCTTCTGAGGACAACGATCCCAAGGATGACTCTGTACAGCTGTGTCACACACACTGCACCACAAACCTCCTGAGGAGATTTAATTCTGCAGATTTGGCTTTCTATGAAAGTGGAAAGATCTCCAACTCTGAGTTTTTAAGTTAATCACCAGCTAACTCTCACCAACATAGAAGTGTCACCCAGCAGACACGCTCTCCTCACCCTGGAGCCAAGATTGAGCTCCTTTGGTGCCTTACAGAGAATCCATATCCTGTCCTGTGATGACAATAATTTTGTCGCGCTATATTGGTTATAGTGTTGGCAGATGGAGATAAGAAGAGAGCACACTTGGGAAATATTTCCACGGAAAGTTGAGAATCAAATCAACAAGTTTTAAAGCCACAAAGAATTTTCCTGATGCACTTAGGTCAGTCACATTACTGAGGCATCATTAAAATCCTGGCAGAAGGAGCTGATTATAGATAATTGCGTAGGGATTTAATAACCTTAGTAAATGTATTTCTTAAATACAAGTTATAAATTTGTTATTTACTTGTGGTGCTGGGTAAAGAGCCAGGGCCTCTTGCATTCTAGCAAGCACTCAACCCTGGAACTATATCCTCATCTCTTGTAAATATTTTGATAAATATGTATGGAGTTTAAAATTTCCGTTTTTTCTTTGAAAGTTTCTTGTTGAACTATGTCTCTTATAATTGAAGTTTACATGTAAAGTTATGTGTTATTTTAATAAATGACAGATTTCTCAACTAAAGACCATTCATTTATTCTTTTATTTGTGCATTTAAGAAATACTTTGGTAACAATCTGCTAGATTTCTGGATGGGGAATATCACAGTTTAAAAAACATAAGAGCTGGATGCTGGTGGGTCACACCTGATCCTAGTTACTCAGGAGGCAGAGATCAGGAGGATCACGGTTCAAAGCCAGCCCGGGCAAATAGTTCATGAGACCTTATGTCAAAAAATCCTTCACAAAACTAAGGCTGGAGGAGTGGCTCAAGGTGAAGCCCCAATTCAGTGGCTGAGTTCAAGCCCCAGTACTGCAAAAAAAAAAAATTAAGAGACATAAAAAGTTTAAGTTTCTGCCCTCCAAAATCATCTAATAATAACTAAACGTGTTATAATTCATCCAATTTTATTCTAAAAGTTGCTTATATGAATTTTCATAGATCACAGGGTAGAAAAGGGCTAAATAAGAAAAACTAAAATTAAAGTCTTAGAAAAGTCTTGCCATGACGTTTCTAAATAAGAAAATATGAACTCTGAAAATAAGCTTATGAGAAATACCAGCTCTTCCTTAAGTTAAACAAGACCATCAAAAGGCTAACAGGCATCACAGAAGATAAAGGCAGAGGTAGAGACACAGCATGACTTTTGAGAATGCATCAAAAATCCTCTGAGTTCAGTGTCTTGCACTCTAGGGGGTGCCTCTTCCTAACACATACACATTTCCTGTGTTAACTCTGAGCTCACATTCATCCTCACTGTCACCTTCACCTTTCCTTACACTAAGAATTCAGGATTCATAGAGACCAGAGCTCAGAAAATGACCTGTTCCCCAGGACCAGTAATTACACTGTTCTTAATGTTAGGTAAGTAAATGGCACATAAGCTTTCATTCTTTTGTTCCACCATGTTGGTGTAATTTTTTGGCACAGTTTTCTCTGAGAAGCAGAACCAGATCATACCAAGAAGACCAAGGTAACCTGCATTCAATTGTTTTTAATTTTTATTTTTAGGAGGAAGCAGTGGAGAATCAGTGACCCAGATGGAAGGCCAAGTGTTCCTCTCTGAAGGGAATTCTCTCATTGTGAACTGTTCCTATGAAACCAAACAGTACCCTGCTCTATTCTGGTATGTCCAGTATCCCAGAGAAGGTCCACAACTCCTCTTCAGAGTTGCAAGGGCTGGAGAAAAGGGGAGTCACAAAGGATTTGAAGCCACATACAGTAAAGAAACAACCTCCTTCCACTTGGAGAAGGCCTCAGTCCACGAGTCAGACTCAGCTGTGTATTACTGTGCTCTGGGTGACACAGTGGCAGAAACCACAGGGGAAGCTGAGCACAAACTGAGCAGCACAGGGGCGTGGCTGCAGGGCGTCTGCTCTGGGATCCCTCTGGTTAGGGATGAGGAACACGTTTACAATATCACCACACACCCAAGTCCTGTTATATCACTAAGAATACAATAAGAGAACAAGAAGTACCTCATACACATGCTTTATCAGTGGGCATGAAAACAGTCTGCACCAGAGTTTCTCAACCATTCCCCCTCTCTATATGTATATGTACATAAGATCATATATATATTTAAGTGTACATTTATCTTTTAGATCTAGCTTCCACATATGAGCTAGACCTAAGACTGGATATGAAATTGGCTTATTTTTGAGACAGGGTCTAGTTTTATTCCTGGGATGTCCTGAACCATGATCCTCCTGTGTGTGCTTCCCTACATAGCTGGGGATGACAGGTATATGCCATTGTCCACAGCAATTAGTTTAGATGGGATCTTGCAATCTTTTAGCCCAGGCAGGCATTAAGCTGTGATTCTCCTGATTTCTACCTCCCAAGCAGCTAGGATTATAGGCTTGAGCCACTGCACCTCAATAATAAGTTAGCAAAGAAAGAAATATAAGAGAAGAAGTAAAAAGAGAGTCCTTCATATGACCACATTTATGGAAAAAGAAGATGGAACACTGTTTAGATTTTTGAGGGGTAGATTTCATGATACAAATACACTGGTATTCTCCAATATAGGTTGTACATAACCCAAACCACAGAAATCTCCCCCCACTGCCACAATCAGTCAGCAACTGACTTTTTATCAGCAGAACTCAAAATAGACAGGTAGTGTCCAGGATCTGGGGAAGGAAAATGCTAGGAAGAAACTCCGCATCTAGATTGCTGGGAGAGGGAAGCCCAGCTTCCCCATTGTCTTTTGAGTCATTTCTCTGACAAAAATAAGTAGCATATGGAGTGGGAGCTGGTGGGTAGGACTAAGAGAAAGAAAGAATGGCAAAGAAGAATCTATGGATATAATTGCAGATATCTTGGTGTCTTGCAAGTTCTGGAGATTGTCTTTGCCTTGTCTATCATAACTCCTTCATGCATATCTGTTTTTAGGGTCAGAAAGTGTGCATTTTTCTTTGTAAGAGGGTTCTTAAGCACAAAAAGTGAGAGAGAAGGGATGGTATGCATCATTCACTGTCCCAGAGTCTGCAGAGGAATGTCACTAGGCATATTACTGCCATCAAAGAACTTAGACAATAAACCTTGCAGTTTGCATGGCTTTCCTTTCTAATTCTTCCCTCTTTCATTTTTATTTTTTCAGAGGACCCATATATAAGTTATATCAATTATTAGAGCCATGAATAATTTATATATAGCATGAATAATTTATATAAATAGTAAAAACAACTTCAAATAAGTCAAATAGTACAGGAAAATGTTATAACTTTTTATTGAATACAGCAGATCATCATGTAGATTTGGCTCTGCTCTCTCTGAAATCTCAACAAGACAGTATTTAAAGAAGCAAAATTCCACACACAGTAAGGCAATGGAAGAGGAGAAGACAGTAGATGAAATGCAAGCAACATCTGCAAAGGTAAGAACAGATGTAAGTATGATGTCTGACTGCAAAGATCTGAGAAATGTGAAAGCAAAACTTGCAGAAAGGAAAGCCAGAAAGGACCTCCCAGTTTCTTGCTCTGTGGCAAGGTTGGGAACTGGAGGACACAGTGACCTTACTTTGGATAGTGGGAGATAATGGTGCTTTGAGTTATTGGCACTAAAACAAGAGAATTAGTGAAAAGACTTTATGAGTAAGTTCAACCCCAAACTCTACCACCACCTTCTGAAACAGGAACTCTCACCAATAAAACATAACAAAGAGTAAAGGTTTAACCTCTAGATATGGCCTCTGGTTTGGGGGACAAAAAATGAATCTGAAGGTGTGGTGAGATGTCAAATTGAAAACAGAGAAATTGCATAAATTTCTGTGGTCTTATTTGTGAGACCTTCATCATTTCTTACATTCAGCTTTTATTTGAATTTCATTAAGTGAACACATAGAAAGAGAGTTATCAGAGTGTTCTTTTCTTTGAAAACTGGTGACAAAATTGCCTTTCATTATCTTAGCAAACTCATAAATTTCAGCTAACTTTTCAGTATCCAGTGTGAAAATGAGCAGTTGGAGATAACCTATTGTTCAGTTAAGTCTGTAATAGGAACAAGGGAGACAAAGAGGAATGACTCCCAAACCAAAACCCATGAGCAAGCAAGAAGAATCCAGAAATTACTCAAGGGCAGGAGAGCCAAAGCAAGTGGCAAAATAAAATTAACCCAAACCCAACCAATACCAAAACAGAAACACAGAGGGACTGGAAATTAAGGAGAGGTTCTAAAAATGGACTTTTTTGACTAAGTGAAAGCTTTTAGAACATAAAATATATAATAGCAGAAAAAAAAGGAAAGAATAGGATGCAATAAAATGGAAAATCTTCCAGAAACTAGAACAAAAACAAATAATAGAATGTAGAAACATTAAGAAATCCAGGAGATCCAATATATGTATAACAGACATTTCAGAAAAAAAAACTTTCAAAATAGAGGGAAAGAAATGAGCAAATAAATTATTCAAGAAAATTTCTCAGTGAGAAATGTTCTGTGCTTCAGCTTGCAAAGGAATCCAAATGCTCAAGACAACACATTATAAAATTCCAACACATTGAAGAGGGAAAATTCTCCAAACTTCCAGAGAGCCCAAATCACAATATCAATGGTCTTCTCCACATAGCATAGAAAACTAGAGCTCAGCAATACTTCCAAACAAAAAGTAACACTAGTCAAACAAATACTGATGGACTGCCTTGTCTTGACTAGCTTGAGAGACACCGTCCACCATTCAGAGGGTTTGGCAATGGATTAAGAACAGTCATATGAAAAGTAAGAAAGGCACAAATAAGAAAAATTGAACAAAAATACCTATAAGATAATTATTCACTCTTGGTAAAGATTAAAATTCAACAAATTGCTTTTCAAACTGGTTTTACCAATCTATGCTTCCCCATAACAGTGAATGATCATTATTGTCTACTTTCAGAAATCTTGTTTATCAATAAGACTTTCAATTATTGCTTGTCTGATTCTTATTTTCTAAAAAATTGAAAGATTAAAAGATTTATTAGTTTACCTATTAATTCATTTGATTATATCAACCTACTAAAATAGTCCTAATTAATAAAATAAAACTATGAAAAAATAAAAATATTCACATTCATTAAAGTATAATTCAAAAACAATTTCATTTTATCTTAACAATATAGTCTAAGTAGTGTCATTATTCTTGGTACCAAATTCTAAAATCAACCTTCAAGTCACATGTGCCTATACTTATAACTGGCATTTTTCTGAAGAATATATATTTTTCCAAAACTATCTTATTATTTTTCATTTTTAATATATCACCTCATATTTTATCCAAAGGTACACTTTATATTTCACATTGCATTTACAGGTACTTGACTACCTGTTAAGATGAAATTCTAGGAAATGGAGTATATTTTTAGTCATTTTCTTCTGTATGTTTGGCGTTACAATGGGTATTTAAAGCCCCTACATTTTTCACATTCAGTCATATTTTTACCATGAAAAATTCATCAGAAACTTATCGTTATGAACCTTTCAAGTGTTTTACAAATTTGAATTCTGTGCAATCATAGATCATCTAATTTCATTCCATGATGGAACAGGACATTTACAAAAATATATGCATTGTTTAATCAAGAATGGAAGTGTCAGAAAAGCACCATTTTTCACACATCAAGATATTTCAAAACAGTTTGGGAAGGAAAGAGTCAGAAAGTACATGTTTATCTTTAGACATGCTAGATGTGAGCTGGCTATTAGGCATCAAAGGTGAATTGTCAGACGTACAGGGTGGTGTATGAGTCCAGAAACCACGGGAGATTTTTGAACTGAAGATAAGCATTTTGTATTCATGAGCATATGGCTGGATTTTAAAGCATTTAAATGGCACAAGGACTCTGAGGCAGATGAGAGACTACATCATGCAGAACCAAACCTTTGTATCCAGGGATCTTAATACAAACTAAACATTAACAAAGGAAGCCAGGGAACAGAAAGAAGAGAGAGGAGAGTGTGTAGCTATAGGAGCCAAGTGAAGAAGGTGAGTTTGGATGATGGATCAAAGGAGATGAAAGCCATAAACTATTCATTTCTGAGTTTGAAAGTCATAGGAGGACAGGGAATATAGCTCAGTGAGTAAAGCACTTCCCTAGCATGTGCAAGGCCCTGGGTTTTATCCCCAGCACCACAAAGAAAAGTAATAGATGACTTTTTGGAGCAGCTGTTTCTATATTGATAGTGGAACAAAAGTTTGATTATGCTGGATTTAGCAGGTAACTGAAGAACTAGATGTAGTGGCATATACAACCATGATAAGGAGTTTCACAGAGAAAAAAATGAGGACAAATGGATATTTGTGAAACTTGTTAAAAATGTAAGAAAAAAGGTAAAAATGTAAGAAAAAATGTAAAAGTAATAGAGGGGGTGAATTTGACTAAAGTACATTAGAGATGGAAAGACCACAACGAACTCCTTTGTATAATTATATGATAATAAAAATGAATTTGCCTTTTTTATGCAATACAAAAAAAAACTATAATTGGATGATCCTGAACTGAAAATGTATAAAAAATTTTCAAGTAAATCTGTATATTAGGTTGGGTAAATCCTTTTTAGGTATGACATCCAAAGGGCAAGGAACAAAAGTTCGACAGATCAATTGGTCTCTATTACAATTGAAAATGTTTATGCTTCAAAGCACATCACCAGCATCATGAAAAAGGAATCCCGCAATGTGAGGAAACATAAACAATTCACTTACCTGATAAGAAAATTCCAAAAACAATGCATAAGTGCAGTAATAAAATAGCCCAATTTAAAAGTGGATAAAGATGTGTACAGACACTGCTCCAAGGATGATCCAGAAAGGGCCAAGAGCACTTGAAAAGATACTCAACACCGTTAGTCTTTAGGAACATGTAAATGAAGACTGCAATGCAGATAGGTACTGTAAAACCCAGATAATATGACAAAAATGTAGAGAACCTGGAATCCTCATGCACTGCTGGTGGGAAGATAAGATGGTGCAGCTGCTCATAAA